ATTTCATATTGTTATGAGTATTAGTATTATTATCATTGAAAGTCCAACTGAATCAATTGAAAATGGATTTGTTCTTGTTACGATTTGCACGATTGTTAGGAAATCTTTTTCGAACTTTTTCGAACACAAGGGCTGGTTGTTAAAAACGAGTCGAGTAATTAATGCTGGACTGAGGTACTCCTTGCTGGGTCCTGGGTTCAGGTCCTCATAAGGAGCCGTTCACGAGTTTTGACTTATTGTCAAATGTTTGACTGGTTTAACTGGTTTTCTTTTCATCGTTTGGTATTACAGCCGGTTTCATCATCGCTTTCGCTTGCTGCAGCTGATCAGCCAAGTTGTTCAGACATTGATTGAGTGAGATTGATCAGTAAAATATTGATCAGTGAGATTGTCGAGTGGAGTGATAAGGTGGATACCGTGATAAGCGCCTTCTCACGGTGAACCGAACAAATCAGTGAAACGTCGCCAAAAAATGGTCGCCAACCGGTCGACGACACCGCTGGCCATGAGACCCGGAAAGAAACGCCGTGATGAGTGTCTTCTTCGAGTACCGTACGCATCGATAGTGGCCGCACTGTTGTGCGATGTTGGTGTGGCGCTTTTCTCGGTGATGATGGCTTGGGCATTCAACGCTTCCGTGCAACAGTTTCGAAGAGCACTGGATGTGGATTCATTACCGTGGCTTGATAAGGTGAGCAGATAATGTGTATTGAGGTTTTGGTTGTTCATTTTGCTGACCTTATAAGATTTGTTGCATTCATTCACTCGCTTGTTATCTTGTTGAATTACTTCAAATTTCACTGAAAATTTCTGAGTTTTGAGTCTTTTCGATTTCTTCTAAACATTTTTTGTTATTGGGATTGGTTTTGTTTTACACTTCATTGATTTCACATTCATTTTACATTGTTAGCAATTTTTTGATGGTGTGGTGTCTCGTGATCAATTTCATCAAATCATTACATTTTGATTTGCGGGGGGGACGTTCTACAGTTAGATATCGTATCTAATGCATTGATGAGTTGAACGTGATACAGGCGACGACTGCTGACTAGTTTCGTTGCGTTTTCAGCATCGTCAATTTGATTGTT